CTGGGCATATGGGAATCATTGGGTTCCTGTTCTCTGACGAACTCTGACTCCTCACCCTTCCAATTTATATTAGAAGGTCATACCAGGAAATAGCCTCTAACTCACATGCGCACAAGCGACGTGATAATAGGGACTTGTAGTTTTTAAGGGAGAAGAAGCTTTTTTTTCCAAGGACGAAAGGTTCTTGAAGCTTGATATGATACAATTGCTGCCTTTAGTATCCTTCCTTAATTAAACGTGGTTATAAACACAAGATCATTTCCACATTATGAAATATTTAATATAAAAGAGAAAACAATTTAATTAAAAGGCAAACCCCAGATCAAAACTGTAGCAGACTATACAGTATGGATGCAAACAGATATGTAAAGGCTGTGTTTGAATTTAATATATAATACTCAATTTTACATAAGTACTTTTTCATAGTAAATTTTAAATTACACATTTTTTCAAATGTTTTTGTAGTGATGAAAGATTTAAATGATTCAAAGATATTATTAACAGAAGTGTATGTACCTTCCATATATACTTCTTTTAATAGTTCTTTTAAAGTCATTTATTTTTTACTTCAGTAATTACATGTGAAGCATCTGCTCATGTCACTCTTCATACCACCTTGAGTGGGATAACAGTCCCCTGTTGCCGTTTACTGAGGCTGGCGGTCTTGGTTTTCATGATCGGGTAATTTAGCATTTCTTACCCTAATTTTGTTTGTCTGTCAGCTTTTATTTAAGCACTTAAACACGACCTTCATTTCTTCAGGATTTGTCAAAGTGTGAACCCCAAGATTTCAAACCATAGTGAAAATACAAATCAAATATGCTAAGAATATCTTTACAGAGGTTCTCTAATCACCGCTTTGAGTTAATAATAAAAGAATGAATACTAATTTGCTGTAATTGTGCTCTTTCCTCTAGACTCCATTTACATAAATGATTTGCAGAGACACAATCTAAACACCACAGATTACATGTGAGGGCAGCTGACTATGTAGCTACTAAGCGGCAATGTATCCTAGATATTTAAAGACGGCTTGCGATTGGGCTTTCAATCCTCAAGCGGAATCACAGGGTTTCATGTGTAGAAAATATCTACATTTTAGTGATGCTATTGCCTTGTTGCAAAAGTCAGTCTACTTCCTGCAATATAGAAAGGTCTAATAACTAAATATAAAATAGAAGTTAGGTAAAATTACTTAAAAATAAATCTGTACACACAATTACACAAGCATGTTCCACCTTTGTGCAACGTCTAGGTATAGTTGTGTGTGTTATCTTATTGCAACAATACTTTACCTTACCACCAGTACTGCATTGATAGGCCATGGTCACACATCTGAACAGGCCTTTCATCATGTCAGGGAGGGAGGGAAATATTCTGCTGCTTAATTATCTCCTGTTTGTTTCTGGTGCAATACCATAGATAGCACCCACAATGCAATACCACAGATGGATCAGCACTCAAATATCCAATAACCCTAATGCCAAGGCTATGGCTAACTGCTCGCTGAATATGTAGAAGGTATCAGCAGCTCCTTTACTCAGTTTAGGAGGGGAAACGCCTGGTTGGATTCTGTTAGTCATTTGATACAGCAGACCTTCACGCTACGTGTAGCCTGATATGTAGATTAGACAGAAGCCTAGACTGCTCTGTCCACCATTGCACCTGTCGAGGCCCCTGCTAAGAATACCTACAGTCCCAGCCTTTTACCTCACCTCACTCTTCAGTCTATTATTTTACACAAACATTAGTGACCTTTCCTTTCAGTATATTTTTTCTATTTCATTAACCCCAAGTTGTGGGTGGAAAAATTGCATGGGAATTACCCAGGATTCCCATTCAAGTCTCTATCATCCATACCCAAATCTACACCCTTGGGCTCAAGTCCCCCCCTCACCAGGACCCTAACCAGGATAAGTGGCTTGAAGTTCAATGTGATACAACATGGATATTTAGGTTAGCACACTGCATGGTTGTTATGCATGTAGATTTGATAGAGGAGTTTGCTGGTTCAGTCCCAAGAGCAGCCCTGTCCAAAGTACATAAAATAAATCATTTGTCTTGGCGCACAATAAAATATAAATAGTAATAACAGGCATATTTAATAAATAGGTCACAAGTCCTCCAAGACCCTGCACTGGATGCATTCACATTTACATATTTAGCAGACACTTTTTTCAAAAGCGACACACAAATGAGGCAAATAGCACATACATGCCTGTGAACTAGGCATAAGTGCAGCTAGGCTGAGCTTCTAATGAATGCTTGGAGAATAACTGGACCAAAGCATGGAGGAGCGTGGGTGAGCTGATGGTGCACATTGGGAAGGCTTCTGAGAAGCACGTTGAATAGTCACACACAACTAAGATATACTGGTGACCATGGCTGCTCCTCACAAGGGGACCCACAATGTCCATGGCAATCTGGCAAAAACCAGTAGAGATCATAGGGAGTGGTTGCAAAAGTGCTTGATCTGATTTGCGGTTGTTGCAGGTTTTTGACACATAGGGCACAGTATATCTGGATGTCTGTATACAGTCTCTATATAGAAGGCCAATGGCCGTGTACAAGTGTTCATAGTTTTGGAGCTACGGAACAACTTCTAACAAAGCAAGAACCTGATGAGAATATTCAAGGACCAGAATTGCAACTTAGGAGCATTCATGGAATGCGAAGAGGCATCAGGCCAGCAGAGAATAAACAGCTGGATATACAGTTGAAAGATGGATGGATGGTTCATCCTTTTACATTACAGTTCAGATTTACATATTAATTTAATCAGAGTTTCCTGGCCTCCCAAGTAAGCTGCAATGTAGTTCCCTCATTTACAAACCCTATCCATCCATCTTATAGCCACTAATCTAGTAAATGGTCATGGTGGGACCTGCAACCAACTCCAAGCAGAATACTTATGTCAAGTGGGCTTTATTGTCCAAATACATGTATAACAAGTCCCAAGGACCAAGGCTCGCCATACGGACGACAAATGACAAAAGGGGGGTTTAATAATCATTTTAAAAAGTGCAAAAACATAGGATGTTAGGTTTCTAAAATTACATTGCTTTTTTAAAAATGTAACATAGATCGTTGATAAAGCTGATTCATGAAATGAGCCCCAGCTGATGAGGCCTGCTGGATTTATTTTTACAGTTGCAAAATTATAAATAGGATTCTGAGTGGCTTAATTTATCTATTCAAGTAATAGGGTGATTCTCATGAAATCTTGGTTTCGAAGATTTCAAACATGAAGTATTTAGAAAAACTTGCATCAACAAATTTCTTTTTTAGCCATTAATAACCAGGTCAGAAGTATTTGTAAGGGTACATTTAAATCATTTACAGAAAAATTTACATGCTTTTTAACATTTCCCAAAACAAATCCTTAAAAATCTTATCACTACAACAGTCTGAAAACATCAAAACCATTAAGAAAGCCAATACATTCTCATATTTTTAAAAATTGCTTAATAACAGGTATGCTTATTATCAATCATGCTCGGTTACTTGAAACACTGAAATAATTTATATTTTTAAATTAACATTTTTATTTGATTTTGACTGATTTCTGTCATTACTGCAACACCTTCTGGAATCTACAACCTAATATTTTTCACATTTCACTGAAACTTGATATATTTTTGTGGCAAACCTTAAGGAACACAAGATATAGATTCAACACATGCAATTAAAAGCAAAGTACTGTTTTTCATTTAATAAATTAATATTAAATGGACACTTTTGCAGTAATGATACAGAGGTTTTGGAAATGAGGTTGGTGGTTTCAAGAGAATCACCCAATAATTTAGACAGGAAAACACCTCAACTGGCATTTCAGGTGTTCAAAATTATTAAAAGCAAAATAGCTACTTTAGGGTGCAACATGGTGGCACAGTGGTTAGCACCGTAGCCTTACAGCTCATGAGCCTCCGTGACGGCTCCGTGTGTGGAGTTTGCATGTTCCACTCCATGTCGTATTCTTCCGGATACTCTGGTTTACCCCCGTGGTCCACAAACATGCTAAGGTGAGCTGTAGTTGGCAGATTACCAGTAGCTGTGCATGTGTGTGAATGGAGAGTGTGTGACCTGCAATGGGTTGGTGTCCCATTTGGTGCTATTCCCTGCCATACCACCATAGCTTCCAGCATCGGCTCCAGACCCTGGATAGGACGCGCAGGTAACTAATGGGGAAAAATACTGTAGTGTCTTGCCACCACAGAAAATGAGGAAACCTGCAAGGAAAAAACAACACCATTTTAAAAGGACAACCAAGATAACAACAGCTGACACGAAACACAAGGAGGTCTGATGCTGGTGCTGTAAGATACACACGGTGGGTAATGTATACACCGGCTATAGACACGTGAGGATCAGACAGGGTTCACATATGACACGCAAGGACACACGCAACAACAGGAAATACAATACAAATATTTACACCTGCACCAAAAAGGTGCTATTTACAATATTCCCAGCCTGTTCAGCGCACTTACTGGGCTCTACTGAGCCATATCTCGCTGGCGCTACAATATTCTGCTGCCCTCTAGGATCAGAGTTCTGTATAATGTTGGTGCCCTGTTTTAAATGAGTAATAGTCTTTTAAAACATAACTTTGAGTTGTAAGGTGATGTAGGAAATCCCAGATAAAGAATCAGAATCAGAATCAGCCTTTATTCGCCAAGTGTGCTGGGGCACACAAGGAATTTGTTCCGGCAGCTTGAGACTCTCTCGTACATAGAGACACTATACAAGCTATACAACAATAAATGACACTATACAACAATAAATGACACTATACAAACAAACAATAAATTACACTGTACAAAAAATTACAAGTATGAAACATATAAATATTATATACAAGCCCACGTGGGTAACATTGTACATTATTAAGGTACGACGTAGAGTGTAGACAGGGGGCAGGTGACAGCTTAGCTGATAGGACACATGATGAGGCACAGTTTTGACACACCTGGATCCAAGGGCGTAACTTTGGGCTGGACATTTGGGGTGACATCTCCACTCATTTCCATGGGGTTGTATTGGCCGGTTTTGATTATTGGTGGGGGGTGGTTCCCCCCCGTAATTTACGCCCTTGCCTGTATCCCAAACAAATTACGAGGATTTCTCTGTAATGGTAGGTCAAGAGCCAAAACGGATACAAATAATTTCCTTCCTTGAATATTTGCATTTTAAAGGTGTGTATAATGCACCTAACAAAAGTGAGACATTATTTTGTTCTTCGCCCAGAGTACTACAGTTTGCACTCTGCAATACTTAAATTTTTTCCCGACATGTTAAACATCCTGTAAGCGATCAGTGGCGCAGTTGTTCTGCAATTAAAACACGGACCGTTTTTCCTACAAAAACTTGCGAATCTGCGTATTCGGGGCCTTTTGACACCTTGACGCGCGTTTCAAACGGCTTCCCGCGTCTGTATGACTGAGCTGCCTGCGGCTGTATCGCTTCACGTAAATAAAACGCTTTACTCTCTAAATGCACCGCTTTGCTGGAGGGGTCTAACGGACAGTATCGGTCGTGTGGTTCCGGCAGGACAGAATAATTTGCTGGTTTTGCTATTCTTTTCTGAATGTCTTTGTATAGGCCGCGCTAAATGGCATGCTAAATGTTTGGAAGTGTTCCTGGATTCCGTGCTGCCCCAAACCTAAATATGTAACGTGGAGTAATTCTGACTTTATTGCGTCGCTGTTATTTTTATACAGCATACTAATAAATGATTATGATATCTATTTCATATGCCAGGACATTTTAATTTACTAGGTCCTACTTTACATTTTACTGAGTTCCGTGAGCTGCTCGTCTGTATTGGTCTGTAGTATTTGGTTACCGGCGAAGTGGAAAGTGCGCGTTTCTCTCATGGGCGAATTTATAATAAAACGTGCGTTTGTAATAAGAAGAGAAACTGAGTCATTTGTATAGAAAACTAAGTGCACTAATTTCCTACAGCTAGCAATAGAAATTATAATTTGGGGGGTGGGGGGGAATCCGAGAGAAAATTTAAGATGGGCAGGTATCGCGTTTGTGGCGCCTGATTTAAGAAACTGTTTGGTTTTATCTCACATTTCATCTCTCAAACATTTACCACTGGCAGAAATGATATGAGCGATCTTTGGTAGTTTTGTTTCTAATGTGGAATTACTGCTTGCTGCATGAACATTGTGTTGCAGAATGCCAAAATCTAAAGAGACATTATCAACCACTTCTGGTAGCGACTCGGACAGTGAAACGGAGAAAAAGGTAGGGGAGTGTGTGTGTGTGCGTGCGCGCTTTGATCTCCAGGGCCCTGTCATATTCGCGCAAGAACAACAGCAATTAGGAGTAGTAGAGCCACGTGACATTGTAATAAAATAATATTTCGGCTTTTTCTTTTTTGAAACTGAAAATGTACTATACAGCTAAGTCCCAAGCTGTGGTTGGGCATTTGGCCAGGGCTAAGCCAAGCACAAATGATTTTCCAGCCTTCCTTGACCTGTGAAGCCTCTGTGCTGAAAAAGAATGAGTAATTATTAAACTAACTACCTGGAAAAGATGAAAAGAAGGCCTAGATTTGGAATTAAGGTTTTGATTTGAAGAGCCCTGAAAATTCCTTGGATTCATACACTGGAAAGCTTCAATCACTGCTTTGAATTACTGCCTTGGCCAATATATGGTGTTATGTAAGTTTTTGGTCGCATTTGTGGTCACCTGCAGGCAAAGAGAAAGAAGGGATCTGCACCAGAGAAGCCTGTTAAGAAACAGAAGAGTGGAGAGAGCTCAGCAGGAGGGGACTCTTCAAAGGCTACCGGCAAGAGTGATGACAACCTCTTCCAGGTTAAGAGCAGCTCGATGCCCTTGCAGTATACATACTGTACACTTGTGTGGTGTTTTGTGTTTGATTTCCCATTTGAACCAAATACGTGTTTTTTTTCTTTTTCTTCAGTGAGCACCAAGTAGTTTGCATGATGGCATAATTGCGTTTTGTCTGGATTTTTCCAATGGCAAACAAAACCAGGATTGTAGGGAAGTTAGGGGCGGCGAGTGGCTCAGTGGGCTGAGTCTCTGTGCCTGTGATTAGAAGATCCACCAGTCCATGCCCTGGCCTCAGCAGAACAGTGACATGTCTGTGGGTGCTTTAGCAAGGCTCTTAGCCCCCAGCTCCAGGGGTGCTGTGCTGTGACCCCCAAGCTATGGAGTGTAAGATGGGATTGGTGAAGAGAAGCTTTCCAATGTCCCCGTACATGTATTTGTGCGAAAGGCAAATAAAGCACGCTTCTTTATTAGGTGAAATGGAAGCAGCTGCTTTGTGGGAAAAGAATATTGTTTCTAGTAATACAAATGCTTAATGTTTTAAAGAAGCAAAATAATTACAGAAATAGTAAAGGGAGCTTTCAGCAGTCTCTAGTGTCAGTTAAGGTAATGATATGGACAATAACAGTACTGTGCAGGGCCTAAATGAAAAGTCTTGGAGAAATAACATTACATTTAAGCTGAAATGCATGTGTGGTTCTCATGAATAGAAATAGGTCATCAGTTAACTTCTAGGAGAACAATTCAGTATGGTAATCAGTATTCTAACTGGGCAAGTGCTTTTTTTTGTGGTTTTTTTTCAGATTGGGAAGATGAGGTATGTCAGTGTCCGTGATTTCAAAGGCAAGGTACTGATTGACATCCGTGAGTACTGGATGGACCAACAGGGAGAGATGAAACCAGGAAAGAAAGGTACGTGACCTGTCCCGTATCAATGCCGCTTTGATGTCATATGAGGTTAATTCATTGCCACTGTTCCACCCCTGCAGGCATCTCTTTGAATCCAGAACAGTGGAACCAACTGAAAGAGCAAATGTCTGATATTGATGAAGCTGTGAAGAGATTATAAGAAAACGCTCTAAGCAAAGTTTGTGTGTGTGTTGTGTGTTTTTTTTTTTTTATATATATACATATAAAATATACTTTTACACTAGGATAAAAAGCATTTTCTAGAGGGTGTTTTTTAGCCAAAGTGTACATTGTGTGCTCAGTGCAGTTGAATCTATGATTTCAGCATGTTTAGCATGTGACACGTGTTCTGTATTTATAAGGACTGTGGTTTATTGTAGCGCTAGGGTGAAAGACTTCAGTATTGCTTCACTTAAACTGCACAGACAGCTGTTCAATTTCTTTAGTGAGAATAAATCCTATATCTTATGTGCCCGCATCTCATTTTTTTTTTTTTATAAGTGCTTAAGAATTCACTCATGCTTTACCTCGTTTCATTAGACTCTTTTGAACAGCCGATTGAGTTCCTTTTAAACATGAACTCACTCAATTTGTTAGTTGAAGACTTCAGTTGTAATAATGGAAGTATAATAAATAAATATATAAATAAAAAAATTTAAAAATATTTTTTTACTTTTTATCCAGAACAATTGGTACTCATTTTAAAAAGCGTGTGCCCTGTTTTTGCAGATGATGGACTTATTTCGGATACATTAACGTATAGGCAGTTGTGAAGAAGCTTCGATGTGTGATTTGACTTACAGATCCAGTTTCAGTGCAGCCTAATTTAAAGTCTCTGACTGAAACTGCATAGATATTAGGTCCTTAAATGCAGTATCTGGCTTATTTTTATTGGCTAAATGGATAGTAAATAGCCAGTGCCACTGGGTGGCGCTTGTGCTGCATTTTTCTGAGGCATTACCACAGATAAATTGTGCAACAAAGGTTCTCACCTTGGGTAGCTATCAACACAGTATTGAGGGGCCTCTTTTAAACCGTTCAAAAGAAATTTTAGTCAAAATCTTGGCTGGTTTTTTTTTTTGCCCTATGTAATCAAACTATATACAGCATAATTAATTTTTTTTCCAGGTGCACATGAAAAATTTCCCCCCCAAACAACATATTACAGTACAAATCTAGGCAATCTGTAGTGACACTGAAGATCCCCTAAACTCAGTCTTATGCTATTATTGTGCATATTGGAATCTATAGCATTAATATATAATATTAAACTTGGTCTGGAAAAATTTAGTGCATTGTAGTAAAAAGGTAATGGTTTAAGAGCACAGATGTGTACTGTACTAGTTCATTATAGCAATGTGTGAAGCTTTATCACGGTCATGCTTATGGATATTGAGCTGCAGACAGTGGAATATCAAGTTGCTCTTCATAAGGTTTATTTATGGAAATTTATATTCATAGATAAAATACTGGCGAGAGGATGGATGGATGGATAGATTATGAATCAATTTTTTTTAGCAAGCACTTGTTTAAGGTAGCACAATGAGGCAGATAATACGTCACAGTAATAGCTATCATGGAGCCAAATGGGTACAAGTTATGCTAGGCTGATATTCCAATAAGTAAACAGTAACAAGTAAATGTTGTCAATGGATCAAAAGTTATACAAAAACATTGTTAGAACTAGTCCAGGGGTGGCCAATCTTATCCACAAAGGGCCGGTGTGTGTGCAGGTCTTTGGAGTAACCTGTAGGTCAGCTGTTCAAACCCAGGTGTGAGGACTCTACAGCCAATCAGTCCTCTAATTAGTAATTTAATTAGGGAGTTGCAACGAAAACCTGCATACACACCGGCCCTTTGCGGATAATTGGCCACCCCTGAACTAGTCATATCAAACACCATGAGCATTAGATTCCTACTAGATAAATGCAGAATACAGGAAGTGATCACCAAGGAAAAAAACGGAGAGCAGGTGTGTGGCAGGATAATAATAATAATACATTTAATTTATAATGCACTTTATATTTGAAAGCAAATCTCAAAGTGCTACAAAATTAATTCGACCCGAAAAGTAAAAACAGTCTGTGGCGTCCTCAGATACTCAGGAAGAGCATTCCACAGTCTAGTTGCAGCTGCGCAAAAGGCTCGATCTCCCATGCTATGAAGTTTAGTCTTGGGGGTTTTCAAAAGATGTACTGTAATGCTACAGAGCGGAGGTTTCGTGAGGACGAATGTTGGGCGATAAGTTCTTTGAGGTAGGGAGGGGCGTCCCCATAAATACACTGGTAGGTAAGAAGGGCAACCTTGTAATCAATTCTAAATGAAACAGGGAGCCAGTGAAGAGATTTAAGAATGGGCGTGATATGATCGTATTTACACCCTCCCATCAGGATCCTAGCAGCACTGTTTTGAATATACTGCAGCTTTTGAAGAGTTTTTCCAGTAGTCCCAATGAGCAGTGCATTGCAGAAGTCCAGCCTGGATGAGTTAGTAGAGGTTTCCCTAGAAGCGATAGGTCTTGAAGGTTGTGAGGAACTCTTGTGATTGAATGTGGGTGGGAAAAACATCTAGAATGAGATTTTCACATGGGTGGAGGGCAGAGGTGGACAGTACAAATCCAAGCCAAAGTTTTGTTTTAACCAACCAGGTGAGTGCTCTGTGACTATCCTCAATTGATTGGTTGAAACAAAACCTTGGTCTGGATTTGTACTTTCTGTAACAGTCACCCGACAAAATTGGCTTTCTGACCAGAGAGTGAGACAGAATGTGTGCCCTGATCCCTGGTCAGTGTGAGTAGGTGCTATATCATTTGCAGCTCTGAAAGCAAGTACTAAGGATCTGAACTCAGTGAAGCTCCTATCTACCTCCAGTAACCCATCGACTGAATACTTCCAATTTTGCTGCTGCCTTTATTGATCACTTTCTTTTTCTCTTTGCTGCTGCCAAAAGATAATTCATTTGGCCAACCAGACAAACATAATTTTAGACTCTTTAATGTAAAGTTAAATTAGAGCGTATGTGAATGTGAAAATTCAGAAGCCATTCAAACACTTCCTGTAATGAAGTTCTTAAAATTAATCAAGTTACTTTGTCATTTCACACACATAACATGAAATTGCTTCTCCTGAGTAACATGCAGCCAGAACAAGGAACAGTGTGTGACTTCGACTGTAATTATGTAGTTTCTCAAACTGCATGATTTTTGTTAAGAATTGAATGCCTTTTTACGTGTAGTTTATGCTTAATTTAAGCATGAGTACCTACATTCTTAGACCTACATAACTAAGAAATTTATGTCATGGCTGAAAGCCTAACATATTTAATCCTCAAGGTTTGTCCAGAAAATAAATATAGATTTGACAGCTCGTTTGTTGTATTAATTTAACCCATTAAAAATCTTTGATGCAGGGCGTGAATGATTATTACTCTTAACTAGTGGTTAACGAGTTATGGAGCCCAGTAAGCGTTTCTTTTGCATGTATATGGTATGTAGACTCTGATGCCTTAGGAATTCTATTTCTCCCTTAGCCATCCTAACGTGTTTCCCTTAGACATATTTTTACATGCACAAGCATTATGTTTCATGGATTCTGTCAAGACACTGTTGGATATCCCCCAAATGGGTTGCTCCATACCAGATTTTTCTTCTCAAAAGATGAAAGTGTCTGCAGGGGGTGTCTCCTTCTTAACAAGGAAAAACATCAGAGTCTGTCATTGGGTGGATCCATATATATGAACTGCACATGTTCAGTATTTTCCAAACATGAAGAAAAACCCATTAAATCTTACCCACAACCTTTACTCACAAAGTCCTCCTCTTTGGAGGCCTGCATTCCAGAACCAATATAATCAATCAATATGAAATTTATACTGAAACATGACAGCTTCCCATCATGGCAACATGATATATGGCAATATTTTGTGCCTGTGGCACATTATTCGTAAGACGGGTAATGCAGGGTGTCTTATCACTATGTATTCCTGTTTAATGAGTTATGTCCCAAAAGTGGAAGACATTCTCTAATCCAAAAACAATAATTTGTGTTAACAGCTGGAATTTACTGGCTAGATCAATGATGTTTTTGATTTGTATTTTTTGATACATCAAGGGACTTATTAGAAACAACTTTATTGGCTCTGTTGGCTGAAAGCCGTGCATTTTTCTTTCTCAGTATTTCTTTATTTGTCATCTTGAGCAAAATCCAAAACCTCTACATAATTTATGTCAAACATTAACAGGACAACCTCGGAAAAAAGACATAAACTATGGTGAGTTTTGCTACTGTCAGTAATGTTAAAGAAAACAGTCTTTTACAACACGAGGAACTACTTGTAATTCATGCAGTTAAAATTAAATTAATTTATTCTTATCAGAAAAAAACTCAACATTTGTGTTAAGATTGCATAAAGATAACAATTCACCAAATAGTTTTTTTAGTTGTATTCCTTACATTCAGTTTCCATCTGCTTCTCTTAATCTTTGATAAATACAAGAAAAGTAGTAAGACGAAATAATTCATATATCTGAACTGTTGCCTCAATCCTGTATAGCAGGGTTATTCAACTCACGGTCCTCGAGGTCCGAGCACTTCCTTTACCTATCAGTCAGGTGTGAAGCCTCTGACCAATCAGAATTATTGAACAACTACCTGGGAGAACTGAAAACATGGCCTGGATTTGGAATCGAGGTCCAGAGTTGAAGAACCAGGGGCTGGTGTGTGGGTAGAGATTCTTTGCCTGTGACTGCAAGGTCACTGGTTGAAATTCCTGGGTCGGCAATGAGGTGTCACTGTTGGACCCCCAAGCAAGGCTCTTAACCCCCAATAGTTCCAGGTACAGTCTGACCCTGCTTGCTCAAAAAAAGTATGTCCCTTTGTATAATGGCACCTGCTAAATGGATATTTGAGTCATGTTGCATGTTGCAATGCACAAGTATTGTTTTTGGAATGAGGCATGTGTGAGTATATTTACTATCACTATAGTAAACAGTATAGTTACTATTAACTATAAATGTTGTATATATGTCATGGCTATGTGTAGTTGTGTAATATGTAATTCAGATTTGTATATTCAACTTACTTAAATTTGTGATTAAACATGATGGTAAAATTAATGTTTTACAATATCTGAGGTTAGCTACAGATATTGCCTCTTTCCCTTTCATAGTGACACTATGGTTTAATACTATAGGGCAGCACTATTACCTCCCCCTACAGGGCTGGGGTTTCAAATCTTGCCTCCCTTCTGTATGTGTGGAGTTTGCATGTTCTCCCTGTCTTGTGCAGGTTTCCTCTGACTAATCTGATTTTCCCCGTCAGCCCATCGTCATGCAGTTAGGCTGTCACCTCTAAATTGTCTTTGATGGCCTGGAAAACAGTGCAGGGTGTCCAGGTCCACTGTGACCATCTGCCAAAGACGCTTTGTAAGTATGGGAGCAGTGCTACTATGTTACTTCTGTGAACTGGAAACATTCAACTAAGTAATGCTGATCAAGATTAGTGGTTAGAAGGATGGATAATATATTCTGTCATCCCCATCACACACAATCTGTGTGGCATTTTTTTTTCAGTACCATGCAATATATCTTGTATGAGCAAAGAGAATATCTTCTCAAAAGGTTTATTCTGGCTAGCCTATAGTAGAAATGGCTTTAG